CGGGGAATGCCGGGAAATGCCGGGGAAATGCCGGGGAAATGTCAGGGAAATGCCGGGGAAATGCTGGGGAAATGCCGGGGAATGCTGGGGAAATGCCGGGGAAATGCCGGGGAAATGCTGGGGAAATGCTGGGGAAATGCCGGGGAAATACCGGGGAAATGTCAGGGAAATGCCGGGGAATGCTGGGGAAATGCCGGGGAATGCTGGGGAAATGTCGGGGAAATGCCGGGAAATGCCGGGAAATGCCGGGGAATGATGGGGAAATGCCGGGGAAATGCCGGGAAAAGCTGGGGAAATGTCGGGGAAATGCTGGGGAATGCTGGGGAAATGCCGAGGAAATGCCGGGGAAATGCCGGGAAAATGCTGGGAAATGCCAGGGAAATGCCGGGGAAATGCCGGGAAATGCCGGGAAATGCCGAGGAAATGCCGGGGAATGCTGGGGAAATGCCGGGGAAATGTCAGGGAAATGCCGGGGAATGCTGGGGAAATGCCGGGAAATGTCAGGAAATGTCGGGGAAATGCCGGGGAAATGCCGGGGAATGGTACCCCCGAGCCGGTGGCGCTCGCAGCCCCCGCGCCCCCCCGAAAATCGCCCAGCGCTGGCAGCCACGAGTTACTGAATCGCACCTTCGCTGAACCACGGAATGCATTGGGCTGGAAAAGACCTCGGAGGGCACCGAGTCCAGCCTGTGACACAACACCACCCTGTCACCCAGACCACATCCTGTCCTTCCATAAACACCTGCAGGGACAGTGTCACCACCCCCTCCCTGGGCAGCCCTTTCCAATGTCTGATCATCCTTTCTGTGAAGAAACTCTCCCTAATGTCCAGTCTAAACCTCCCCTGATGCAGCTTAAGACTGTGTCCTCTCATCCTGTCTCCTCTTCCCGGGAGCAGAGCCGAACCCCCACGTGGCTGTCCCATCTGTCAGGGAATTGTGGGGAGTGATGAGGTCTCCCCTGAGCCTCCTTTTCTCTGGAATAAACACCCCAGATCCCTCAGCTGCTCCTCACAGCACTTGTGCTCCAGACCCTTCACCAGCTCTGCTGCTCTTCTCCGGGCTCACATTGGCACATATACATGCATTCCAATTTTACTTCTATGCATCCTTAATTCTAWAAAATAAGTTCTAAAATAGGAGAGCTGAAAATTTTGAATTGCTGTGTTATTTACTTGTAATGTTTGATATCAGGAACTGTTAATAGGAATAAACATGTAAGTAAGGCAGAGAGATGGCTGTGTGTAGAATCAAAGCTTTAGGAGACACGAATGTCCTTTTGAAGACTGTCTGGGTTTATCCTCCAATCTGATGAGGAGAGGCTGAGGGCTCTGAATGCACAGACACAGCCCAGGGTGGGATAATGGGAAAACCACTGTGGCTGCTCACAGCAGATAAGGTGAAAAAAAAAAAATAAATAAAATAACCTGAAGAAAGGCAGCACATGCAGAGAAACCAAACCCATGGCTGAGATCACAGCCTGGGATCATCTCACAGGGTCACACCAGTGTGGGGATGTGCCCATGCTGAGATTTCAGTGAGATCAACACCCCACCCACTGCAGGGATTTACAGAGTGGGACCATGCTAAATTCTCAATCTGTGTTGAAATAGTGAATTTAAACTTCTTTGAAAAGTATGAAATTGATTGCACTGCCTTTTAACAAAACAAAGATCAGCCCGATAAAGAGTTTTGTTTTAGACACTGTAACATGCCAGGCCAAATTCTGTAGTTTTCAGATCACAAAAAATTTCTTCATTGAAGGAGGAAAAGAGGAACAGAGTTACAAACTACAGGGGAGTATAAATTTTCCTATACTGGAAGGAAGAACTGGCAAGTTACTGTGCATATTTTTAACATACCTCTTACAAAATCTGAAGAAAATCTAATATATTTTTTCCTTATGCCTTAATGCCATTCCATACAGTACAATGTAATTAATTCACAGCCACTAACAATGACTTGAAATAGWTTTGGGATTGGCACAGAAAACACAATTTGCTTTTATTTCAGTTGCTGAGAGTTCATTTTGGAACAGTGACTGCTCGCAGGGTAATTCTGCAGTGGGAAATTCACACCCWCCTCAGCAGGTACTCCTCAATACTTCACTGTCAATCTCTTTTTTCTTCTTGGCACCAAAAAAAGTCTTTGAAATCCTGATTTCATTGGGCAGAACCYTGCCTGGACAAAAGCAAAAGAACACAAGAACCAGACAAATAAAACAACCATTTATTTGATGTGTGAAACTCCTCYGGCAACTCACAAAGAGGAGAAATTCTCTTTTTAGTTTGGCAGACGTGCTCAGTKCCTATTTGCTTAATTAACATCCTCTCACCCAGCTTCCTATTTCAGCCTTCCGTGTGGGCACTGCAAAGGAAAATCAGCTGTTCCTGCACAGCCCCTGTTAGAGCTGAATTCATTCTGGATTCCTTCCAACCTTGTGTGGTCTCAGGTGGAGGAAAGTGCCCTAAAAAAATCTTGCTGCTGCTGTGAACTTCCTTTGTCCAGGAATTAGTCTGGTGGCTGAGGGTGTGGCGCTGAGAAAGGGTGGATCACATGCTCTATTCCAAATGTTTGTGGACTTGAGCTTTTAACAGGATAAAAATTATTTGGAGAGAAGTAGTTGAACCAACTTGGCAGCTGGAACATCTTTAATTAATGTTTATGATGTGRATATGCACAATTATTCACTTATAATGTTTTTGGGGGAGGGGGAAATAATGTGTTTAAATGTGTGATAAAAGCTGTCTTGAAAATGGCTCCAAAAGGGGATTAACACATGTGGAAGCTAATTACCTGAACTACATTTAGAGAAATTACTAAGAAAAAAAAATGGAGTACACAATAACAACCATTTCAGCAAAACTACAATCACAACTAGGATTATGTCCTCTTAAACAAATTTTCTCTGAAGAGATGAAAGCTGGTAGTAATTTATTTCAACTAGCTGAATATTTCCTGCAGAAATTGTGTCCAGTGGTAACTCCTGCAGTTTTTAAAGGTTGCTACACACTCTTCAAACTGCAAACAAATAACACAGAAATGTCACTGTGGGTACATCCTGCAAAACTCCCTCCAAAGCAGCACGACACAGGCCTGGTGAAATTGCAAACATGGCTAAGAGGGTGTTTCACTGTCAATATTCTTTTGCCTCTCACATTTGCAAGGTTGGTTTGGTGCTTTTGTGTTCTCAGTGTGTCCTGTTTGTTGGCCAAACCCAGCACCAAAATCTCAGCAGGTTTTTAGGGAGATGCAGTGGAACAGATTAATTGTGGAGCACCCTGTGAGAAGATGGGGGACTGACAGGAATAATCCTAATTCTTTATGGACAGCAGACAATGAATTGATGGAGAGTTCATACAGATACTAACATTCATTTCTCACTGTGTTCTATCAATGCAACACAYATACATATGCCTTTATCAGAGAAAATGTAATGCTAATGATACAACAAGAAAAAAACCCTCCAGCTCTCAGAGAATTTTCCTAACCAAAGGACAAGATTTCACCATTTTCTTACAGTGGAATGACAGCTATAAATCTAAAATATTTACTTCTGAAATAAAATATTTCAGGAATTTCTGCTGAGAATCAGTTTGCTGGCGACAGAATATAGTTTATGACTAGATCCTCTTCCTTGTTTGTGATTAGAAGTTGTTTTGGCTCAAGTTAAACTGTGCTGCTTGAGCTGAGAATGTACAAGCTGTGTAAATGTGACCTTTATATTTAGCAGGTAATTGTGGAGTACAGAGATATACTGTGAAATATTTTCTGGTGAATTAAATGCATTGTAAAAAATACACCTAAGTATGAAATGAATTCAACAGAATTCTTGTTGATTAAGAGGTATTTTATTCCAAAATTCTAAATATCAGAATCAAATCAATACTTACATTTTTCGGTTGAACCAATCATAGTATTTTGAAATTTTATATATACATAGAAAAATACAACCTAATAAAAACCCTCATATTTGCATTCAGATGACAAGAATGAGTAGAAAAGCAAACCATAGCTTTATCAGCTATATATTTCATATCAGTACAAAATTACTGTGCCACAATACCCACTTTTTTGCACAATTTATAATTTAATACAAAATAAGGTGACTTCAAATGTATATTGCCCTCCTTAAATGTACTGAAGACCTTTGAAACAAGTTCATAGCAACTGAAAATATTCCCATTTCCGCTGCAAGTATTTACTACACTACAAAGAAACACAAAATGCAGCACTCTTGTTAGTATGTTAATTTTCTGCTTGTGCAAATAATGCTCTACCGATTTAATGCACGAGCAAACACCGAAAAAAAAAAAAGACCAAAAAACTCCATTACGAAGAAATAAAATGTTACATTTTCAGCATACTTGTATTATAGCAAATACAGGTTTCCTTCATGGGCTAGAAAAGCAAAACCTGTACAAGTTTTTTTTGCAAATGCAAATGCTACATTAAATCTTCCATTACTTTGCAAAAGCCAAGGGTCAAGTTATCCAACTTCACCGCAGCATATCTGGAGGGGGTGGTTGTGTGGAAGGTTAGATTCCTGTGCTGTGTTGAAGTTGCACACACTGGAAACAAACAGGAACAGTAGCAGTACTACACATTCAAAGCCATCTTTGTACAGTCTCTACTCCAATTTTGGACCTGAAGAAGGCGGCAGCAGGTGGAAATCTGGAGTTAGGAGTGGATACACTGCAGAATGTACATCAGGACTCACCCAATGTGGGTGATCAGAGGCTTCCTGCACCTTTCCTTCACCACCTCCGCTGATCACACCGGTTCTGTTCGTGTCCTCACAAACAGGGACCAGCTCAGCAAACAGCACATCCCTCCCTGGGCTGGCAGAAATGGGCAGGGAACCAGAGCACACCAGCTTTCATTGCACTCGGGGCTGAAGATTCACTAGCACCGAGTTGAGACCCCAACAGGGCACCGACAGCTCTGCTCATCTCACAAACAAAAAAAAATCATCTCTTTGCTCTAAGGCTCATCTGGGCTCTGCCACTGCCTTTTTTTTTCTGCATTTCCATTTTTCTTTCACTCTTCTTTTTTTTTGTTTTGTTTTTTTCCCCTCATTAGCAGCCAGCAGCATCAAACACAAAGAATCATATTCAAAGGGTCACGTTAGCCTGGACCAAAGACAAAAACTGCCTCGATTTTCTCCAGGGTAAATGCTGCTCTGTGGCTGTTTGGGACACAGGAGAAAGTACTGCTGGGCTCTGCCAGGGTAACCAACAGCAAACACAAATGCTAYCAACATCTAAGTGCAGCATGATTCCTTCAAATCACCAACAGCACGCTGATCAGAGCTGCTGAAGTATTTTCAAAATACCCTTTAAGACTATTTAAGCATGGACACAAGCTTAGAGACAACAAAGTATTTAAAACCTTTGCTTGTAATGAATGTTTTATAAAGAAAGAGCACGTGTAGTAAAATTCCTAAAGTTTCCACAAGCGTTATGTGAAGTAACGATCAATGTGTAAATCAAAATTTAAAACAGGAAAAAACCTGATACTAGGCAAACATTGTTGGCAAATATTTCCTTAAAGATTTCAAATTATGTTCACAAATATAGCCCATATTTGACTTTACAATCATGTTTATACAAAAGCTATTTCCACAATTTCATGGTTTCTTGAAAGAAATGTAAACCTATAAATTAGGTTCCTCAGTTTACATTTTCTAATATTTTCAAATATAGTAATAGATAATATGCATTTTTTAATATAAATCACTTTTACATATTGATCATGAGATGCTGCAGTAATTGCAAACCAGAGTACTTAGGTAATTTCATATTTCATTATAAAATATATAGCTCTTTTAAAATGTTTTCATTGCCTAAATAATTACACAACCGTTGGTTTTATATTCATTAAAAATAAGCTCCTGAAACATARCTCTCAAAAGAAGACTAGTTCTCTGTTACTATGCTTGTATTTTTAAAATGCTTCCAGTGTGCATCTTATGCACATCAATTTTGACTCGAAGGCAYTAATTTCATTCCAAAATGCAGCTTTTAAAATTTCTTTAAAAGCTTTAACATCATTCTACAGTATTTGCTGTAAGAATACATTAATGCCTGTAAGTCATTTCATATGAAATTCAACCTGACACAAGTACATACATAGCCTGGAATCTTATTGCTGAATATAGAACATGCTATCAGAAGTTTCCTGCACCCCCATTCAGGAAAATTTCCAGTTTGGAACCTCCCTGAAACATAAGTGTCACTGAATTTGAGGAGTTACATCTATGCTCACTGAGTAACCTGTATGCTCCATTTGCACATGCTACTGTGGTCTTTTCAACCAAACTACAAGTTAGTGGATGTGGGAGAAGCAAAYACTTGATTTTGTTCTCCAGCAGAATGCAAGAAATCCAAATCACTTAAATAAGTCCTAATTTATGCCACTTCGAAAACGGAAGATACTTTCCATAGCTACAGTAGTTGTACCAATAAAATGTACCTTCTTATCCTGAAAATTAGCAAAATGAGAGCTTCCAGTTGCCACAGTAAAATWCAGATGCAGCCAGCACTGACATTAGCAATGCTGTGGTATCCCATCCATGTGAGTAGGAGGGATCCTGACCATATTTTTTTTATTTTTTTTTAAATACTCTATTTCATCTCCTAACAACGCCTACACATGCAAGTAGTCTAATAAATTTCAAGTCACCATGGTGTGTACATGTAAGGAAAGCACACATGTAAGAATTAGAGCTATTATCTGTCTGACAGTCTCTTAAACTTCTTACCCTACCAAGGTTAAGGCTGGGTAAAACCAATCTCCTTGCACATAGATAATCAGCTGACAGAGTGTGTGAGCCACAAGCCCGTGTGAGTAACTGAAGTGCTGTCCTCTCAAAGTCACATTTTGAGGCCACCATCCATGCCTGATTCCCATTTCTCTACCACAGTGCCAGCAACAAAATTAAAAGATAAAAATGAAACATCGGCCACACTGAAGACCAGGAACATTATGGAAGCAGAATTATGCCCTCTCCCTTTCATGTAAACTAATTTTGTCTAAGCAAGCTGTCCAAGCCATCCCCATGTAAATGGATAAATATGTAAACCTATCTGGTGAATGCACCCCCAGACTCTGTGCTGTCTCCCTTAGGGACTGGRAATGCCATCATGGATCAGTGAGTAACAATGGACTTGACAACAGCCAATGGTGGATTTCAAATCTCTGAAAAGGTGCAGAAATAAGAGTTCTGCTCATCTCAGAAAATTCTGGGTTTTGTGGGGACTGCTGTATTATGGGGGAGAYGCAGCTATGAGCAAAAACCCCAAGRTACAAAACCAAACCAGAGCTTGTCTGCATAGAAATCTCATTGGTGTAAGTACAGTGGAAGTCTTCCTTTGTGTACCTGGCTGCACAGAGGGAGTTTATAACGAAATTTATTCCCTTTTTGGAAAAGAGAATAATCACATCTCACAGAAGGAACCTCAGTCACAGTTTAAGAACTGTGGGATCTGTGCACGCAGTCACCTGYGGCTGCAAGCTGAACATCCTCCGGATCCACAGCTCCTTCTCTACTGAAACATGTAGACAATGCTCCTGTGCTCTTTAATACGTGGAAGAAGCTTCATTTTACTATACCATTGGTGAGGGAAATAAGCTAAGACTGGTGTAAAYCCATGCCTTTAAACCCCTGACAACAATGACAGAAAATACTTAGTGTCTTTTCTGGTAACGAAATGTATTGAACGTAATGAAATGTCTTGTGCAATGAAATGTCTCGTGCAACGAAACATGCAGTGACTGAAGCAATGAATGAATCAAACTAAACAAGMCAATGAAACAATGAATGAGGGAAGCCAAACAAATCAGCCTTTACTTTTCAAACCCTTTTGCAKTGCCAGCTCCTCTCTGCTTCTTTTGCCTCACTGTTCTCGGAGGGCAGGAGGTGAGGGAGGTGTGAGTGTGGCTGAAGCAATGCAGATCCATGGATGTGGCTGGCAGACAGCCCAGTTTAAACAGCCTCTGTGTCACTGCATCCTGCACCTGGGCATGGGCAACCAGAAAATACGAGCATTGACAGCTACAGAACCCCAGGAAAACTGCCACGGAGTGCTCCCTTCAGTGTTTTGCCAGAAATGGAAATAAAATCCAAATAAAGTACAGCCTTCGTTTCAAACCCTGTGGAGGTTTGACTTGTGGACATCAAGGGTTTTCTCAGAAATGTCTGTTGGCAGCCACAGCTCATGTTGTCCCTGGCACACAAATGCTGCCAAGAATTCTGTGGAACACCTGGATCCCACTCTGTGGCAATACAGAGTCTCGGGATCTCACCCTGAACCATCTCCCTAAGTCCCACAAAAAGTACATCAGCCCCAAATTTCTACCACTCACTTTGTGTTTGAAGGCTCAATCCCTGCGGGGTGAGACCCAGAACAGAATTGGTAATGCCTAGAGGGAAACCACAAGACAGGTGACAGAGCAGGCAGGGGAATGGGCGTGCAGAGCGTTGTCAGATGGGAATGACCCCACTGAACAATTCCTATTTCTTGAGCAGGAGAAAAAATTCAKCATCAGAGATAATGGGTCAAAGAACATTCTTCAGTATTGTAAAACAAGCTACATTCATTTTTTTTTTGTGCAACTGACTTTCAAGAGCTAGGCGGTGAAATGTAGTGTACTCCAACAAAAACCAACCGAAAGGAAAGGTGTAATCCAACAAGCACCTCTGGAAACTGCTGGCTCCAAGAGCAAATGCAGGATCTGCGTGGTGAATCGTGGAGAATCAGTACCTGAACTGGCAAAGATGATGTTCCCTGGATCCCAGTCAGCAAAATCCCACAATCTGGCTCCAGTTTGTCACGTTGGTCGCGGGTATCAACAGTGTTARCGCAGAGAGAAGGATTTCAGTGTTGCCCTTGCTTTGCACAGACCAGCAGCTCTGCACTCTGCTCAGGAGTGTTTGTGCACTGAGGGGGAAGCCAATGTTTGTAWCCAAGATGTAGGCAAGTGTGCATTTCAGAGTGTCTGACAGAYAAAACTCTGCTTAAGCTTCTGATGTCCCTTCCCCGTTCTCGTGTGGTTGCAGCTGCTCTCGTTCCTGCTCTTCCTGAGGTGGCCTCACACGCTTGAAAAAGCCCATCTGTGGTTTGGAAAACAATTAACAAATTCCACTGTGATTCACAAAACACACACTTCCTTTCTCTTTCCTAATTGATCAGATCTTAGCTGATTAAGCTGCCTTTTCACTCCTACTCTCTYTTCCCTCCAAAGACAGTAAATATAAGCTGAAAATGAAACTGAGTTCAACACAATCAGAGCCATGCTCTTTTATTCAGATTTTTCCTGACAAAGCTCAAAAGCTTTGTCCAAAAACCTAACTATTCAGATGATTAGGGGACTGAGGTATTTCTGCAAAGTGCTGGTACTCCAAGAACTAAATCATCACTAGCAGAGAGAAGTGAACAATCCAAAAAGCCCCAACCACAGTACTCACCCTGTACATGACAAACACCAGCAGAGCCAGGAGCAGTAACCCTGCGAGCACAGCGAGAATTATAACCCACACTGGCACTGGCATGGGCTGTGGCTGAATGCCCCAGGTAATATTTGTAGTAACCTAAGAGAAAAACACAATAAATCACACTTTGCACACAGGGACACGCTGAGCTCATTCATGAATCTTGCATTTAAATCTTGTATACCTTGATCCTATTGTGATTATAAGATTAATCCAGTATAAATTACTTTTTTTTCTCCAGTGTGAGTTAAAGGCCATAGATTATTGGTGACATAAAGACTTCACTGACCCAAATTTAACAGGATTTTAAAATTACATGAAAASAGGGGCTGGGGTTTGTTTTGCTTGTGTTTGCCATCAGTGATAACGTGACAACATGTCTTCTGTAATTCTTGATGATTTTCAACAAAACTGTAAGAATCTGGAAATATTTTGGAATTAGAGAAAAATAATTSATGGGTTTTCCTTTTTTATTTTTTCCTTACAAGGCAGTACTCTTTGAAACAAAAAAATCAACACCACATGACTTAGGAGAGAAAAGAACCCAGTTAATAACAGGGATTAGAAACCATATTAAAAATAAGKCAATCACAATCCTTTTCTATCTTTTCTTTAAGATCTTTTAATCCTATAAAGCTCACCAAAAATTTTCAATTTGCCAGCTCAAACAAGTGGCCTGTGTCTTCCTTTCTGTTTGCCCCATCTCCTTTCCTTTTGAAACCCCCTGGGGCACAGGTGGTCTTTTTGTTCCTCACTCACTCATAGTAGTTCATACAATATAATCAAAATTCATTAAGTGCTACTGCAGTTGGAAAAAAATTTCAAGAAAAAATTTTCTCTAGCAACAATGGCATTAACAGGAATATTAGGATTGTTCACCTTTTTTTTTTTTTTCATTTTCAGTTAAGTCTTGCAAGATGCAAATATTCTCAGCTCTACTCTGCTTTACCCTCAATTGTATGTGAAGAAGATATATGAATCAAACAGATGATAAAATTAAAATTAGACCAAGTTGTAAAAATGCTACTCAACAAAAACAATTTGTTTCTTTGCACTAATTTTGAAGTGATTGTATTTGGTAACTCAAGCTGGATGTAAATGACTTACTACTGTGGAATTGTGAATATCTTCAAAGGAAAGGTTCTTGTAAGGGAACTCAATAACACTGAAAGAAGCAGATGATTTCAGGGAGTAGGAATGGTTCTGGTTTTCTTTCTGCATAAGAAAAACAAAGTTAGAATTGCATGTGGGTACAAAAATCACTCTCAATGTTTCAGAAGCAGCAGCAGGATATTCACAGCCACTCACATTCATGAAAGTTTGGGTCCAAAGGCGTGATTTTAAATACAATATTGCACTCTTTCCCCTTTCCAGGTGGCCAACTTGACAGACAATCTTTAAACAGTCAGCAGTTCCACAGCCCTGTGTATAAAAATAGAAAGGATATTCCAAATATGAAAATGTTTGAAAAGTTATTACCTCCCTTGGCAAAGCACCATAAAKCATTAAGACATAAAACAACCTCCAGAATTGGACAATTACTTAGAGTTTGCAGCTACAAAGACGGTGATATGGCAACATGTTTGTTTCTTATYACAAATGGAAAGGATAAGCCTTCCTTGAATTAGTCTGTAAGGATTTGTAAGAGCACAGAACTGCATTGTCAGCCCCTCAAAGTGGGATCTTACCAAGGTCTGCACGTCCCCCTCCACGGCTGCCAAATCCCTCCGGCTGACGCGGTGGCCACGGTGATCCTCCCTGCCAAGAGTCTCATTCCTGTCATCATCCTTGGAAGCAGAAATCTGGGACAYGCCAAGGGAACCCAAACAGTGATTTAGACAACTGCAGACCTCACRGTTAAGGTCAAGAAAATAGCAAACTGCAGGTTTCTCTTTTTCTAGCCCAGCTGTTCTTCGGACTCTGGTTGGAAATACATTACTGCAAATTGTATAGAGGAAGCACAGAAACTTTGCATTGATATATTCACTGAAGTTGCTTTCCCATTATCAAGGATACACAAATATTCTGTGTTGTTCTGAATATCTTCCCTCAGTCATTTTGCTTAAATTCTTCTAGAACTAACACACTGATTTTTAATTGCTTGTTCTAAACTGTCCTAGAATTCAGCTCTCTACACTCAATTAAATTTGGTGTTTCTATGTGTAGTCCAACCTAGGAAAAAGAAGTTTCTTCTGCTCTGTAAATCCCTTGTTTTGCTGGCAGTGATAGCTAACCGTTATTGCCCTTTGTGACCTTTGAAGGTAGCAATATGAAAAATAACACCCAGAAAATTTAGCTAGACATCCCAGAAGCATCTGGCATGTTTTACTGTGTGGCTGCATTCATTATAATTCCATTGCTTTGGACTTGGAACTCGTATAGAACAGCCTTGAAGTTAAAAAAAAAAAAGGGAAGAAAACCCCACAAGAAAAAGAAACAAAGACAGACTGATCTTTGGATTGACAGTTCTGAGCTGTTGTTTATTTACCTTTTATTTGGCCTGCATTGTACATTGACATGTACTGTGGAACAGGGCAGACTTATTTGCCAGCCACMGATGAAAAACCATCTCAGTTCTTCATTTTCTCAGGGGTTTGGCTATTTTGAGTGTTTACAAAACAACCACACGTCATTGCACTGAAAGTCCTGCTTACCTTAATTTTCAGAGGGTTGATTTCCATGTCAGAGGTGCAGTTCATGGGCCCATCAATCTCATACTGAACGATGTACAGCAGGGTGTTGTTTTTGTATTTGTAAGGCCACTGCAGAGTCATCATCACCTTGCTGAATGCACTCGGGCCATTGTTCCTCAGCTGATCATGAACACAAAGTTTACAGATGTAAAAAAAAGCAATATTTTCTCTGTTAATGTGCATATAGTTATCTAATATTTGAGCCAGAAATGTGAAACAGCTGMTACTCCTACCCCCAACCACTTATGGCAACAGCCTCAAAACTTTACCTAACAGTGGGAAAACTTTTAACTATTATTATTCACACAGCTCTGAATAATAACAATTATTATTATTTATTATTAATTCTTAATTATTAATAATTATAATTAACAATTACATTTTGCTTAACTAAACAATCTAGATTAAATCTGCRGCCATTCTTTTAAGGAAATTTTAAATACTTAAACTTTTTCATGGCAAAAGGCTTGAGAATAGTGATTCAGAATAGATAGAACACAGTAATTTACAGCCATAAGCCATTTTCTGAGTTCAAATTACTTCAAATGTTTTATCTAGATTTCCAAAGGCTAGAAAATAAAATAAGTGTAGTTTTGTAGGYAATCAGCCTATTCTATTGGGCCACCCCTGTTACACTARTTGCAGGCATTCCAACTCWTTTGGATRGAAMAAKTAWTGGCAATAAAAYCTCTTCTTACATGCAAGACAAAATAAAAGAAAAAAAATCATGGTTTACTCCAGAGAACAGCTACACCAAAACATTTCTTTAATTTATCACAGAACTGTGCCACTGAAATCATCAGTAATTCCACACCTCATAGATATGCTGAACCAGAGGCCCAATATCATCTTCTGTTTCGGGATGCTCCTTGGGCTGCCAGTTTGCAATAGGAAGGAAWATGTGATCAGGGGATGACACCCTAAACAGCAGAGCAAAGGGGTTGTTATTAGCATGAAACAATAATTGTAATYCTCTAGAACATCAACATGCTTAAAATACGACCTCCAGCTTTTCATCCTCTACATAAAACCTGAAGTGGTTTGAACATTAAATGTTCTGTTCTGTTCTCTCCACTAAAGGATGACCCTTGTATGTAGAAACATTTTGGGTTTCATCCTACTACATCTAGAAAACCATTTATAGAAATTAGAGACAGTGTGAAAAACTTTGATAATGAGAAATGTTGATGATATAGAACCCCATGACCATGACTGAGGAAGGTGAGGGAAGAGCAAACTTAAATCCCATAGGATTTTCAGATGAAACCCCAGTCAGTTTGTGGAGGAGGAAAGTGACAGAGAGAAATGTAAAGCTGCCAACATGAGGGGTGATTTTTTTTCTTATAAAGAAAAAAAAATCTCTAGTAATGGAGGACCAAGATTCCTTCTTGGAATTAATTTTGTAATTATTTAGAATTATTTAGGATCTGAAAGTGCAAAGGCTGGCTAGAGAGAGCCACATTGTCTTTATGATTAAAAATTCCCTAAGCCCTCCTGAAAACTTGTGCAGACCTGAAAGGAAGTTCAGTGAACATAAAGAAGAAAACATGCAAAGCTCATTATTAAAATAGTGTTGCTTACCCTCTGATTTCAACAGCTGCTAAAATAGCAAGGTCAGCCTGATAATATGCTACTGGGCTCGTATTGTCATACAGGTTGGAACTGCAGAGAAAATAAGAGGAAAATGCTTCAATGAAATGAGCAAGGTATTTAATTAAAAAAACCTCCACACTTTCAATTGTAAGTAACATCATAACACGACTCCTGAGCCACTGTAGGAAAGCACAATTGCTAAAGGTGCAGATTGCAGCAAGTTCTCACCCAAATGCATGGAAATCCCACCCTGTGCACAGTCTGAGGGCTCCCCAGCAGGAAGAGGTCGATGAAGGACACAAAGTTAATGCTGACTCAGTTCTRCATCCTCCATGTAGGAAAACAGAGCACACTCCCCACTCCAGGTGGGGCTGGGAACAGAACCTCATCTCCTTAGACATGTCTGATTGTTCTGTCTCCCTAACCAAGCAATTTCCTTTACAAAGAATCTTCTAATTATTCTTCATTGCTGCTGTAGCCAACAAAGACGTGCAGCAGCGTTTTCCCCCTGAGCTGTAAATACCTCACTCTTTCAGAGCCTGGACTTGCTGTGCTGGGAGCTGAGCCAGCTTTGCAAATGCAGCTTGGTGAGTTTAAGACAAGCAGTGTGATCCTAAAACCCCTTCCAGATAACACCCTGCTAATGCCTGTCACTGTAAACTGTGATTACAGTGTTCCACTGCACCACTGTTCTTCCATCCACAACTCATGCAAGGAATTTGCTTCCATAAAAAGCCCAAAATGCTACAGGAACTTCCCTTCTCTTCCATCAGGAGAGAAACATGACTTGAGCAGCCTCAGTTTCTGATGCAGTGACAGCAGTAGGTGGCTGCTGTTAACCTAAGGAAGGGCACAGACACCCCAGAGMAGATCCCTTTCTCCAAAATACAGGAATCACATCCCACTGGCACGAATCACATCACTGTGTCATCACTGGCACACCTTACAGCTGATGGARAACGGGGGGAAACTGAACAGACAGCAATGGGAGAGCAAAGAAACATTGAACACTGCTAAAACATTGGATCAGCATGGCAAACCACTCTATCACTAAAATAGAATGGCAGCTTTAAAGTTTTCTAACTCTTGGAGATGAAAAATGCATGTGTGGATGAGATTAATTTATTCACTGCATTAAAAGAAATAAAGTACTTAAATAGAAAAACAAAGGAAAAAAAAAAAGGGGGGAAAGAAAGAAAAAAAAAAGAAAAAATAGGGAAAATAAAGAAAAAAACCTTTTGGTCCATCACAGGGAAAAAATACAACAGCTGTGTTTGCACTGTCCATTAGGCAGCATAAAACTGTACTGGGTAAAGATACTCCTCAYGATCACATCTCCTAGCCTTAAACATCATCTTCAGAAGGTATAAATTCACAATTATATTTCATGTTTATATGATGGTGCTGTGCTCATCTGATAATTCACAGGAACGCCACTTAATTCCTTCCATTAAATTTTCAGGCTCTTTCAGGTTGGCTGCTGTGATGGTTCACTGCATGTTGCTTCTGCTCAGATCCCYCCAAGCATTGCCTGCCCTGAAAGACTCTCTTCCCCTAAATACGTAAAATTCTGGCTTTACATCTCAAGGAATCCAGAGTTCAAACATCAATTTTAAAAGAGGACTATAAACCCAAAGTTATACTGTGGCACTACACAAGAGCATGARCAGTAACAATGTATAGATATATTCTTGCATTTTCCCCTCTGTTTTAGGAAACCTAATTCATTTTGTTTATTTTTCAAGCAATTCCGAAGCAAAGACAAGAGAATTAGGCCAGAGTGATACTGTGCAGCTCACAGTCTATTTAYTGTGCATGTCTTATCCCAGGTGATGTGCACGTTCATGGATTTCCATACCTTCGGATTTGCAAGTCAAACTTGACAGARGTGTCCATCTCAGACTGCTGGTGCACGCTGAAACGCAGGCCAGCCAAGAGCTGGGGGAAAAACAAGCACTGGGCTTCAGTGGAGACTCAATAAAACATACAATAAAAGCTTCTTGATGCTTTTACACTACAACAAAACTGCTTGGGACTCGTGGGCATGAGAGAACACAGAAACAACAAATTCAACCTGTGCAGCTGACCCAGGCTGGAAATGAACCACCCTCTCTTTGCCTTACAGCCCAGGCATCACTGCCATAAAATACAAAATAAGGATCACAGCATGCTCYCCACCCTTACTTCAGCCATCTCTACACATATCAGCCTCCCCAGGTGTTAAAAAAAGTACTGTAATCTAAAGAGCATTAAAAATTCAAAATCAGTTCCCAAGATTTGGTCACAACCAATTCCTATTTGCTTTAACATCATTCCTGATGCATGACAGTTCAGCTGTCATTCCTGAACATGCAGTTCAGCTTATGCACTTCAAAAGACTTGGGAAACAGCATTTATTTATCTATACAAGATGGCTCTTGGAAGAAAAACATCATGAAATTGTTATAATTGTGACTGATTTTCACATCATTTTGTCAGAAAATAAGACTTTTTATGTCATATCATCTTAAAATCTTTTTGGTCCCACTAATGATTTTTTAATCCTTCCTATTTCAGCTACATTTGGTGGATTTGTAGRGGTCTCAGCTAGACAAACTCTCTCTCGTTCTTCATGAAAATAGTCAGAAAAGAGATGAACTAAGAGAAAAAAAGTGTTATGAGCTGGCTCGATTAAATCCTAGAAAATGCATATCAGATAAATATAAAAAAAGAGGGACCAGAGTCCATTAATTCCACTATTTAATGGAGGGCTCATTTTGAATTGCATCATAAAACTCACAGACACTCCTCTCAGCCTTTAATTTAGCTGAAAAGTTTAAACCAACCACTGCTGTACTAACCAAACATGCAGGCAGCTAAAGGTCAGCTAGAWCTAATCTTAAATTCCTATGAGAACACTTCCTGCCCAAACACTCCTGTGACTGAGGGAAATGCCAGCTGCCCTCCTGGGTGAGCTGCCAGACACCAAACCTTACCTTAGTCCCTGCTTTCATGGGATTTCCCAGGTCACAAACCACCATGCGAGTCTGATTCTCTGTTTTAAAAGCACACGAYAGTCTGGCTAAAGCCTGCAAGAAACCAGAAACAAACATTGAGGAATGCCATTCTTGACAACTGAACACCTGGAGAGAAATTCTAGAAATGCTGCATTCATTTTAACATCATTTCTCAGCCATAACACAGTTGAGCACTAAAATCAAATAAAATCAGAGTATGGAATTGAGACCGATGTTTGCGATTCAAGACAGATCTCAAGGTTACCAAAAAGAGAGGCTTGGAAGAATCTGATCATTTTTTTCTCATTTTCTCTAAGATTGAAATAATAGAAACCACCACAACTTTCCCCAGCAGTGCCTGGGATGTGACTCCTCAGGGACAAGAGCTGGAATTTTACCTCGTTGTTGCGAACAACCCCGATGAAATCTGCTTGGGGTGGAACAACCACAAAGAGTTCTGCTTCGTAGGCTCCCTCCCCCTGGTTCTGAGCGCTGACAATGAGGGTCAGGGGATTGTCATCACCAATGTAGATCTGCTTCTGATCACTGCAAAAAAAAAAACCAGTGTAAAAATGAGCTCTGAGTTCAGGTTTTTAAGTGCACTGAAGCTGCTGAACTTAGAGAAAGAAGCTGCTGAAATATCACAAAGATATTGGAGAAATCTGGAGGCAGCACCTTTGCTTCAGGAGTGTCAGGAGAGCTCTRAGCTGCTTTGAAATAACTCCCACATCTCCAACCACGAATGGAGCAAGTATTACACACTATGCTGTGAGAATGTGTTCTATAAACTGCACTACAAACCACAAAAATACAGACACCTTTTTGTCACAAGGAACAACTGTGAACAGCTAAATCCCTGTGTGCACTTTGAATTACAGACTCTATTTGCAGAGGTGCAA